CGTATACGTATTTACGCCTTCTAGTGCAAGAACAACGTAGAGGGATTGCTTTTGTCCAGCAAACACAAGAGGCTATCAAATTCTCATGTTTCACACCTCCAGCATAGAGCGGATGTATCACTATAGTAAGTGCAGTCTAGAAGCGTCTAAGACACACGACATGCCTTCATAGTCACGGGAAAGAGTGCTATAGTTCACCGACAATGCACCACTCATCAGCCATGTGTCTGCATCTACAGAGCCTTCGCACATAAACCACCTTACTCACGCCCGCATGGAAGTAAGATAAAAAAGCCTCTCTCTCACTTGACATCTACTCATGTCCACAGGAAAGAACGAAGTGATACTGCGGCAACAAGCCATCGTAGACCGCGATGCACGCAGCCTGACCACTTACGCATGGACACAGAGCAGCGCCGAAGGTATCGAAGTGCGCGAAACCTGTCTGTACCGGGCCATACGCCCCGAGGCTGCTGCGGATATATCGCTGCACCGTTCTAATAGCAGTGCAACCAAACAGTTGGGAGGCTCGGCTACGGAAACCGGGACCCCGTATCACTCACACACATCTACACAGGGCGATGTGCCTGAGAAAACGCTCGTCACACGCTCGCTGGATGTGCTGGTGACTATGCTACCGGGTATTGATGCGGTCGTGGAGTGGCATGTGGTGAAGATGCACCGCACCTTTGTGGAGGGTAGTTTGTACTGGCTCAAAATGCACATGGACGAGGTACGCGCCTGTGTGTGTATGTGTGTGTGAGTGTGGGTGTATGTGAGTGTGAGTGTGAGTGTATGTGTGTGTGAGTGCGAGTGTATGTGTGTGCGAGTGTGTGTGGATATGTTTGTGTGTGTGTGTGTGCGTATGTGTGCGAGAGAGTGGGAGTGAGCGTGAGTGAGTGAGTGTGTATGTGTGAGTGAGTGTGTATGTATGTGTGTGTGAGTGTGAGTGGGTGTGCATGTGTGGATGCATGAGTGTTGGTCGAGTTGAGTGTACTTGTGTACATGTATGTGGCATATGCGCATATGGGTGAGTGAGTGACCCCACTCTTGTATGACACTGTACATGTGTGAGTAAGGGAGTCTCGTTTGTTTGTAATACACTCCCCATGATGTTGTTTGATGGAGGACGAGGTTGCTACAGTTCAGATTAAGAGCGTATACAGTCCCTTTAAGGTTTTAGAGTTTTACTGTTTCGAGTATAGAATCCTTCTTACTTCTGTTGTCTATTGATTGATTTTGCAGAGCATGCCTGGGAATTGTATGGATGTATAGATTAAAAAAGTAGAAACGATGGTTATTCTTTATTATATGCACATATTTGTTTATATACAATCTGAGGTTTTGGACGGATGTATGTGTATAGAGTCGTCTATGCTGTACGCCGTTGCTGGAACAGCTGCGGTTTTCGTATACACACACACACACATATATATATATATATATCAGTGCATAAACGCCACGTGACGGGCTCACAGTAGCGTTGTACCTATACATATCATAGCAATACGTACATATATACATAGTTATATGTACACATATTTATATATAACATGTACAGTAGTTCATCAAGCATCGTTGAATCACGACTATCATACCATGGAACAGTCCACGCACACCATCACCGTCACATACTGAATGGGCTTGTACTTATTACTAATATAAAATTCGAGTACTCGCTAAGTTTAAGCTGGTGCGTCCTCTGACGTTGCATTGAAACAGCTGTGCTAAAAATAGAATCTGAAAGGTAGGTGCTAAATATGGCAGGCTGCGCTAAAAATAGGGCTTCACATTTCAACGTGACCCACTCGAATACATGAATGCTACAGAGAGGCGATGGATTCAATCTATGTGTATGCATATAGTTACGATATATGTGTTCAAATGTTTTCAAAATGCTTCGATGTATTTAGGGTAAACATATTCAAAATGCACAATATACATCTAATGAATTCCCATTGAAGTGTATATATACATTCTAGATAGCACATATGCACATGTATCCTCATTTCCACCGTACTGCTGACTTCCAGTTGAGGGAAGCTAATGAATTCGAGAGTTGGTCACCCGGAAGCCCGCACTGTCTGGGTGATGGACAGGACACCGTGAACCCTCTGCGGAAGCTGGGTACATGGCCGGAGTGTGATGATACACTCTCTGATACGACACGTCTCAGTACTAAGATTATAACCAGCCTCACACACGCAGGTATGTATGTAGCCTGAGCGGCTGTGCTTATGTGACGTGATCTGTGCTTAGTTATGATACCCTACTGCGCTCATAGTGTTTGTCTTGTCGATCTATGCAGGCATGTCAGCTTCATGCTAAGGCCAAAAGTTCAATCGCGAGTCTCATTACCAGGTAAAACACATACGTACCACATGTGCAGAAGACAGTGAAACCTTCTATCGCGGCTTATACAATCAATACCAATCAGCCCACCGCGAGTATCTTAATTAGATAAAACATCATTACACCCTATGTATGAGCAAGAAACCCTTCTTCTATCACAGCTCACCCACCCACCACCAATAAGCCAATCACAAGTCACTGAAACCTTCTGCCACAGCTCACCCACCCACCACCAATAGGCCAATCACAAGTCACTGAAACCTCCTACCACAGCCCACCCACCCACCACCAATAGGCAAATCACAAGTCACTGAAACCTCCTATCACAGCTCACCCACCCGCCACCAATCAGCCAATCACAAGTCACGGAAACCTCCTGCCACAGCTCACTTACCCACCACCAATAGGCCAATCACAAGTCACTGAAACCTTCAATCACAGCTCACCCACCCATCACCAATAGGCCAATCACAAGTCACTGAAACCTTCTACCACCACTCACCCACCCACCACCAATCAGCCAATCACAAGTCACTGAAACCTTCTATCACAGCTCACCCACCCACCACCAACAAGCCAATCACAAGTCTCTGCGGTGCATTGGAGATACCTCCGCCACTCAATCTGCGACACCTCACCCCAAAGTCGTCCAGCAGCGGAGCAGATGCACTCGTCAGCAGTGACGATCAAGTATGCATGTTTCGTTATGAGTTCTTTCTATACATGTGCGCGTATGTGTTGATATGTTGTGTGTGTGTGTACGGGGTTAATACACATATTTTTTGTGAGGTGTTTTGTCCACTGTGTTATGCGTGGTTCTTCAATGTATCTGTACCTATTGTCGCGTCACTGTGTTATGCGGTGTTCTTCAATGAATCTGTATCTATGTGTGTAAGTTTGCAAGGCGCGTGTTTGTTCATTGAACTATATGTCATTCGCCCACATCCCCACACACCTGCACACACTCACGCCGCGCTCAAATGCTTAGACATCGTAGTTGTGGGTTGCTGCTGCAGTGCAAGACAAGGTTCTGTTGATGTTTTAGAGTCGTCATTAAAGTATTATAGATAGATGTACTTTTTTGCAAGACGAACATAAAAAGGTACAGGTCAGTGGGTACCGTTTCCGCTATCGAGACATCAAAAAACTGAATTATAGCAGTTCATATATCTCCTCCCGAGACACAAGCAAGGTTAATCGCTCATAAGCGCCGCTCTGTTGAAGTATACCAACTTCTAGTGGTGGATGGCAATATGGTAGTGCGTGCTATCACACAAACATGTGTGTACATCAACATTTCGGGTTCTCCTACTGATTATTGGGCACATTTATATACTAGCATCCCGAACTCATGTACTAACCAGCAAACACACGTATATACCATCAGCTCGAATTCTCGCCCTGGGACACAAGCCGGGGCAAGGCGCTCAAAAGCGGTACTTTATTGAAGTACACCAACTTCTTCAGTGGGTGGCAGAAGCGGTGGTTCTGTTTAGAGCGGGACAGGTCTGGGGTAGCCGGTGGCGGCAGTGGGAGTTTGGTTATGCACTTGCTTTACTACGAATCTGAGACAGACCAGGCACAGCCCCGGGGGAAGATGGCTGTAAATGGCATGGAGATCGACGTCGTTAAAGGTATGGTTAGTAGTATGTGTTGGTATCAATATCTGACTGGAAATGTATGTGTTGAATATAAGTGGGACAGGCCGGGTGTGGCCGGTAGCTTCAGTGGGAGGTTGGTCATGAACTTGTTCTACTACGAATTTGAGACATACAAGGTACAGCCCCTAGAAAGAATGTCAGTGGCATGGGGGTCGACTTGGTTAAGGGTATGGTTATATATATATATTATGCGTATATATATGTATATACATATACATATATATATACTATATATATTATTATATATATCGTTATATATATTATTATATATTATTATATATTATTATATATTATT